AGCGGAAGACGATGTGGGCAAACTGGGTGACGTAGACCGGCGAGGCGACGGTGATCTCGACTGGTGGTGCTGAACAGTCGAAGGTGTTCGCTGGCCCGTGAGATAGGCTTCGATTTCGCGGGGGCGCTCACCGTAGCGCGGGCATCGAGCTTCAGGATGGAAGCCGCGGAGACCTAGTTGCCGGTATTGACAGTTCCTGTATACGTGACCCGCTTCGCCGCAGTGATAGCAGAGCGGACGGTTATCCGAGGTGCCCCACGTGCTTGCCTTGCTACCACTTTGTCTTGAGGTAGACTGCAGAAGGTAGACCATTGATGAACCAGCCGCTGTGGCTATATATTGGATATACCGAAACCGTGTTTGCTTTGTGCTTTGCCTAGAGCTGCACGTCATTGTTGTCGGGTGATGGAGGATCGTCTCACGACACAATTCAAACACATGCCGACTTTTCACATTCAGGTAAAGCTGATTGTCACTGGCTCCATATTTATTTCTTTTAATTTCAAGCAGTATATTTTGCGTTTGCGATGGTGAGTTGGCACTCAAGTGTTCCGGTTCATATTTATTCATATTACCATATGCGCTAAGAAACGAACCATCATGTTTGCCTTAAATTGTCATTTCTGATGCGTAGTCATCTTACTATTCACTTCTCATCCGCTTCTCTGCACTAACTTCAATATACAGAAATAAACTGGAAAAGAGAAAAAGCGAAAAAAATTATTTAGGATGAAATTAACACTAGAAAGGCCGGTAGGCAGGCAATACCTTTATTTAGATCCGGCGATGACCCTCAGTCCCACTAGACATAAAAATAGTCTTTATGGAACAGAAATATGGCTTCAATAGCGATAAAATATTGCTACCGGTTAAGTACTGATTCGCAAAACCGAGGCAAGCCAAATTTTTACAGCGAACGCTGTATATGACTAGGCCAAATGACAGAACGTTGAAGACTAAAAACGCTAGACGTCTCTATCGGCTGTTCCATCAGTTGCGTCATTCTCAACGTCACACCCTAAACCGCACCCCATTGGGAGCACCATCAGCGGCGTCGTTCAATCCTTCACATTCGTACCGCTGAATTCGCGCGATGCAGTTTCAACATAGTGGCTCTGAAAAAGAGGAAAATGAAAATAAAGTGTGCCACCATCTCGTAGTGGAGGTCACCTCAACATTGCTGCACGGGGATCAGAAGTAGAAGAGATAAGAATGTAAGAATAAAGAGAAAGAGAGATGATAGGGAAGGGGTTAATTAAGGCCTGCCCTGTCCACACATCTGCTGATCGCGTTCCTACCAAAAAGCCGTTAAACAAGCCAACACTCAAAGTAGGGCTGAAAGAAACATCGCATAACGTGAAACAAACACGAAGGGCACGTGGAGAGTTTGGTGTCTAGGGAAGGTTGAAGTTACAACTAAAACATGTGGAGGGCACGGATTGTACAAACGCCCGAACAGCAGACATATTTCCATGGGGACAGTGCTGAAAGTTCCTCCCTTGAAGAATTCTCGTTCGCCGGGCCAATGCCGCAGTCCCGGCATAAGAACAGGCCCCGGTGGCACAGCAGAAGCAGAATCGGCGCTACAAGAATCCGGCACCCTTCCGAGCCGAACACAAGCGACAACGGCAAGCCGTGGCAGTGGCGTTGCAGACACAGCAGCGTCAACAAGAGAATGGCGGTAATACATTTGCAAGGGCCGACTTCCGTTTTCGGCAGGAGTTTCACGAGTGGCCCTTCGGCTTCGGCTGTGATGTATGCAACAGCCTGTGGCCACATGTTTCTGCTTCGCTGGTACTGAGTGCTTGGGTGATAATTTTTGGATGTATAATCCTGTAAACATCAACGCTCTTTTGCACTGATCAAATTACAGTAGCACGTTAGTTCAAATGTAGCCATCTGTCATAAACCCCGTTAATTTATCAATCACCCAGCTTGATCTAAGGGCTGATTTATCGGTTCCCCGACACGTATCACGAAAGCACGGGCAATTTAGGGGATGTCCTATCAGTGAACTAACGAACGCTGTTAGTGGTCCAAAGTTCAAGTCAAACGCAAGGGTTGATTACACAAAGAAAACACTCTCTCTATTCAGGCCCTGTAAGTGGCACATAAACATTAACACTAGGTTGGTTCAATTACAGTATAGCTTACATGAATCTAACAAACAATAGGAACAAATGAACATATGAGTTCGAGTTAAAACACTCGAGTATTCTTGAACAATATAAGTATTTTCATATTCACTTGAAATTACTTTTATTGTTCTATATAAAATTCATTTTATAAGTAATGAATAAAGATGGGTTGGATCACAATCAGTCAACATTCTCAAATCATGAATGGTAGTCTGCTACTAACCCTCAAAAGGAAGATTTATAATAGCTGTACCTTGCTGATACCTACAGAGCCGAAATCTGGAGGCTTACAAAGAGGGCTCAGCCTAAATTGAAGACGACGTAATGAGCGACTGAAAGAAAAATCATTGGGGTAACCTTAAAAGAAACGAACAGAGCCGAGAGGGTCAGGGAACTAGCCGTGGTTAAGGATATTGATACGTTATGAGCCGGGCCATGCGCACTGCTTGTAGGACGTTTGTGGCGCTGGTATTTGTTGCAACTGGAGACGTATTGCTTCGTACATTGTTGCATTTTAGGCCACTAGAAGTGCTCTTGAGTTTGATGCAAAGTGCGGATGAATCCAAGATAGCCAGACGTCGGGTCATCATGCATGAAATGGAGGACATTGTACCCCAAGCTTTGGGGAACCACCAGCAAATACCGCGCATCATTTGCCGAGAAATTAACCCTTACAACAGTCAATCGCGAAGACAAAAGCGACCACTGCCCTTGGGGCTTCTGACAGTGGCGAATAAATTTAAGTGTCTAAAGACAAGTCATTGCGCTGCTACCGCTGGAACATGTTGACATCAGGAAATGCGCGTGAAACAGTTGCAAAGCAAACGTCGATCGTGTCTGTATTGTCGTCAGTCGTAGACAATGGAAGGCGAGAAAAACAATCGGCGTCACTATGACGCCGTCCACTTTTGTGTGCAACATTAAAGTCAAATTCCTGGAGGCGTCGAGCCCAGCGTGCAAGGCGTCCAGAAGGGTCTCGGAGAGTAACGAGCCAGCATAGGGAATGATGGTCTGTTACAATCGTGAAAGGACGCCCATACTGGTAACAACGAAACTTCTGAATAGCAAATACGGCTGCCAAGCATTCTTGTTCGGTCACAGTGTAATTTTTTCAGCCTTGCTGAGAGAACGACTTGTATAGGCAACGACATGCTCTCTGTCATTATGACGCTGAACAAGAACGCCTCCGATGCCAATACCGCTTGTGTCGCTGTGTACTTCCGTAGGAGCAGATTTCACAAAATGACGGAGAATCGGCTCTGATGTCAGCAGAAATTTGAGTTGACAGAAGGCAGTGTCACATTCCGATGTCCACTCGAATGCACTGTCTTTTTGCAAGAGGCTGGTCACTTGGTACACGATGTCCGCGAATTTAGGCACAAAGCGTCGAAAATAAGAACATAAGCCGAGAAAGCTGCGAAGTTCTTTTACAGACGTAGGTGGCTTAAAGGCACTGACCGCTTAAATATTCCGAGGGCCAGGCCTGACCCCATCTTTGTCTACCAAATGGCATAGGATCAAGGCCTGCCGTTCACCAAACCGACACTTCTTGGAGTTCAAGATCTAGCCAGCCTTTCCCACATAGTACAAAACGAGGCTCAAACGAACGTTATGTTCTTCGAATGTGCGGCCAAAAATGACAACGTCGTCCAGATAGCACAAACAGATCTCCCATTTTAGTCCGCGAAGAATCGAGTCCATAAATCTTTCAAAAGTTCCGGGGTCATTGCATAGCCCAAATGGCATCATATTGAACTGATATAGTACATCCGGTGTTACAAATGCCATTTTCTCTTTGTCAACAGGGTTTATGGGGATCTGCCAATATCCTGATCGTAGATTGAGCGAAGAAAAGTATGAAGCAGAATTTAGACAGTCAATTACGTCGTCGATCCGAGGCAGCGGATATACATCCTTTTTAGCCAAGGCGTTCAATCGTCTATAATCAATGCAAAACCTCCAGGAACCGTCTTTCTTGCAAACCAAAATCACAGGTGCTGCCCACGGGCTACACGACTCTTCAATATCGCCCTTCTGAAACATGTCCTGAATTTGTTCAGCTATAACTTTCCGCTCGGATGACAACACCCTGTGAGGCTTTTGCCGAACCGGATGAGAAAAACCTGTGCCGATGGCATGCTGTGGTAGAGAGCCATAGTTGAAATCAAGAAGAATAAATAGACATGGACTGGGCGCGTAGCACGTAGGCAGTATAACCTCTGGTCATTAAAGGTAACTGCCTGGGTTCCCAGAGACGGCAAACACACGAAGCGCAGACAGAAAGTTAGGCGAGCCAATGGGATAAAAAAAGTTCGCAGGTATAACGTGGCAGAAGAAAGCACAAGACCGGGTTGATTGGCGCATCACGGGAAAGGCCTTCGTACAATAGTGGACGTAGTGAGGCAGATGATGATAACGATGGGTAAATTGATCATTGTGAGAATACGTCATGTATCTTAAAGAATCAAGTAATCTAATAAACAACGAAAAGAATAAATATCAGTAATAAATTTGTACTAGTTCATATTGGCTTCACATGCTGCTTCATATTCGCGTGTAAAAACAGACATGCACAAGCAAAATAAAAAACAAAAACACTGCAAGACGCAAACATGAGCAAAACTAGTGCACCCAGCCGACAGGTAATTTCAAAGAACGAGTGTTGAATGCTTCGTAGTGGGCATGGGCCATTATTGGTCATCAAGAATAACTCTTCTACGACACATGTTCAGGGTGCTCGAGATACGCGCTATGTCCTACATTAAAGCCCCTTCGAGCGAAACATGGAAAGTCATCGTGATTGTCTGTCCAACGTGCGTCTGTGTCTTCCTATACTTCGAGGTAAAATTGATACGAGCCTATATGAACTGGATACAACCTATAGGCCGTCTCCTCGACACGTCCGGCTGCACTATGCTGCTCTACCCTTCGTTCCACCGTACCATTCGGCGGGCGAACGAGACCGACACCAGCCTTGACTGGCGCTGTCCGGGCCGCCGAGCCACCGTTATCTATCGCCGCGGCAGCGTCCTCTACATTAAAACGAGTCACCTGGCTAGCTACTACGGCAGCGCCGCTGCGAAGGACGTGGTTTGTACCTACCGCGAGGTAATGAGGAATCAGAGCTTCGGTGTCAGACATGATGGCGGCTACTCTCTGGGACCACTTAGAGGACTGGTCTTTGGAACCGCTTTGACCGAAGAGTTTCTTGCCGTGACCTGCGTGGTGGGTGCTGAGACTCTGTTTATCGATTACTTTTTAATTCCGCAGAGAAAGAAGGTGGAGACAAGAAAGCGCCGAACTCGAGGCGAACGACCCGTGAATGTCCTCGTTCTGGGAATTGACTCGACGTCACGGCTTAACTTTGACCGCCACATGAAACGGACGCGCAAGCTCCTAACCGAGGAGCTCTTCGCTTTTGAGTTCCTCGGCTACAATAAGGTACGGGGTCAAGATTACTTATTGCCAATGCCCGATAAGCTAGCTGCGAAAAAGAGACAGTATTTCCCCTTCTCTTCTTAGCATTGACTTAGGAACCGACTTAGCATCGACTTAGCGAGTTCTTGGTTGTGGAACTAGTCTTACTTAACTAATCGCATTACGCTTGTCAATAAATTAGCTCATGGAGGCGGAAATGCTGTAGGCCCGTGTGCTCAGATTTGGGTGCACGTTAAAGAACCCCAGGTGGTCTAAATTTCCGGAGTCCTCCACTACGGCGTCCCTCATAATCATATAGTGGTTTTGGGACGTTAAACCCCATATATCAATGAATAAATTAGCTCATAACTTACGGCCATTTTAAAGTACATTTCCTTGACAGATTTCAAGTATGAACATCTTGAAACCACAAGTCACTAGAGTCGTGTGCACAAGTACTTCATTATTAACCCCTTCGGTCCTGCGGTCCTAAAAAAGAACACGAAGAAGTTTCGCTGCCAATAGCGACAGAATGTAACACGGCAATTGAAAGAGGTGTCGGAGCTATATCCTAAATACGCCTGCAAAAGTATAAGCATAGTAGTTCTTCCGTAATTAGAAATCTTATTTCTGCAATTTTGAAAAGCGCAAGGCAAGATGGCGAAAGGTGAAAAAAAAGATGACAATCTTTGTAACCGAATACTTGATTCGGTATGAATTAACTACTGTATTGGTAGTTGTGATATTTTTTCTTGATGATTTTAACGTATTTAGTAGCTCTATTACCACGCATATCAAAGGCAAGTATGCACGACTTTTGTATTGTGTACAATTTCATTTTAATGCAGCCTCTATTTTAATGTCAACCCGTTCAGGTTCTTGAATTCATTTAATGAACTAGATCAACCCATATGTGCTACATTGCATCAAGCAAACACCTAACAAACATCACTTGTTATGCATGGCCACTTGTGTTATTCAAAGATGCATCCTTGTTTACTTCTGCACTCTATGTGAAATGCATCAGCGCATGGCAGCGTATACTGTAGCCCCTACCATAATGTAAAGTGTCGTTATGCAGTATCATATGTGACAAATTATTTGGCTTCCCAAGATTTACTACTGAATGCAACAAGTGGTCGTCCATGATAGTTATCATTGAAGAACTGGAATAACTTTTAATAAAGTTCGTTCACCCCACCGCTGTGCTCTACTGGCTAAGGTACTCGGCTGCTGACCCACAGGTCGTGGGACCTAATCCCCGCTGTGGTGGCTGCATTTTAGATGGAGGTGGAAATGCTGTAGGCCCATGTGCTCAGATTTCCGTGCACGTCAAAGAACCCCAGGTAGTCGAAATTTCCGGAGCCCTCCACTATGGCGTCTCTAACGATGTTGGGCACGTTCATCAGCACGTTGACTACTTGCCCCTTAATGCCGCTCTGGCTGCCACCAGGAGTCAAAAGCCTGATGTTCATGAAGGGTAGTTGTGGAGCTAGGAGGCGTTTTTCGACTGAGTTAAGTACGGGCAGGTGGTAGGGCCTAAAGAGCGAAGAAGGTAGCGTGTTACACTCATGGTCAGAACCTCTACTGGCACAAAACAGTCTTCGCACGTTGAGCAAACGCGCTACTCAATGTATTTTGTTGGCGGTGCCAATGACGGGCAGAGACCGGAAAGTCTCGTTGAAGCACGATGGTAGCGTTGCTGTGGGACTGGTCATTGCGGATGGAGACGAAGGTGGTAGGGTTGTTGTCAGATCACAAGCGGTCCCATCCCTTACAGCTGTGCCCGAACGAGCGATCGAGAAAGACGCCACCAACGACGGATAACGACAGGTTTCGCCCCTTGATCGCTGCTCCCCGCGCCCGCTCTGATTTCAGATTCACTTGCCTCCGCCTACGTACCGCCTGTGCTTCGTGGGCGCTCACTTGGGGGTCCAGTTGTCGACAAGCATGCTTTGCTTCGACTGCGCGCGCCCTCACCGCTGCCACGACTTCCAAAGCAATACTGGTTCTGCTGATTGCTGCTAACTCTAACGTAGTCAGTCACCCATTCTCTCCCACTGGCTCTTGGTGGACGGCTCGCATTGCAGCAATGTTAAGCTTAACACGAAATTACCGTCGTTTAATGCACCAACCTTTTGTTACTGGTCTCGCTGAAATTTTCTTTTTCCCCAGTAAGCGTTTTCAGGCCAACTGGCGATGATGTTGAGTAAGATGCTACATATCTTGTCTGGTGCATGCAGTTTTGACTGCTATTTCCATCGCGCCTGTCAATACACGCCGGATTTGTTACATGCACCAGTGGCCTGTTTATCATAGGTGGGTGAGAGCTCCTTCGGCAACCAGATTCCGCTGCTCACGGGACTAGCAGGTGATGACGTGGAAAGGCTATTTCGCAACTTGACCTTCGACGAGCTGCCGCATCTGTGGAGCGTGTACAAGAAGCGCGGGTACGCAACGCTGTTTTTAGAAGAAATGCCGAGCTTTGGTTTATTTGTGTACCCCGACTTCCAGGGTTTCCGCGAACTGCCTGCCGACTACTACCCTGTGCCTGCAATGCATGCAATGGAAGTTCATAAAAGACTCGACTACTTCTGAGCCGGCTCGCGTCTCAAGACGAAGGTAAGTGAGTGGGAAATATCATTGGAAATTCTGTCCCCGCGTAGTCACTATCGTACTGCTTGTTTGAAGCCCGCCTGCTCAGGTTTAAGTGCAAGGGAAAGAACTCTAGGTGATCGAAATTTCCACAGTCCTGCACTACGACGTCTCTCATGATCATTTGGTTGTTTTGAGACGTTAAGCCCCAGATAATATCATTAATATCACTCTCGCTTTGCTAAAATATTTTACAATAATTTTGAAATATTATATGAGTTTAATTCGCTTTGTTCTTGACCGAAAAAACGAAAAGTAATTTTAAATGCACGCAGAGTACCATGCTTTTGCTGTGCATTTTTGTCGCGAGTATACAAAATATGAATTGGTAGTCATAATGAGCAATACAATTTTATACTAAGAAAAGAAACAATGCCTATTGTGCCCCACTATGTATATTGGTGAATGTCGTAGTGATCTCGATAGATCGTATGGTGATACCTGTGACCTACATGATCACCGATCATTTACTAATATTGAAATAGCACTAATTGACCATCATGAGAAATGAAGGGTGTTGCAACGTTCCTTCGCATTGCTACAATAAACAAATTTATTACCGGGGACTCTACTGTTGACTATACTGAACTTGGCATTAATGTAGACACATATTGTTTACCGGAATTATATTACCATACTGAAAACAAAGTGAAGTGGACAAGAAAAGCTAGGTTTGAGACAAACAACATCTTCGTTTTTCGCGGAGTCTGCTATGGCACTTGACCTACCACGGCGGCATTTTTTTAACCACTATCCTAAGATCTCGCTGTATTTCACTCGAGCTTATTCTCTCTCTCTGTGTGTGATAGAATTAGTATGCTTATACACCAATTTGCCAAAAGTGAAACTGCGTGAACAATGCGAATGCAGTGAAATTACTTGAGACAGAAAAAGAATTGATATAAAAAATGTTCCTTTTGAAAGCATAAATAAATTTCATAAAGTTTACAACTAAAGTAAGCGCATAGTGGAATTTGTGCACTAGCACGGCCTTCATTGTCCAATAGCATTGCACCAGTTGACATATCTCGCAGTCTGTTTGCGGCAATATGAATGGTCACACGTATCGTGAAATGTACCTTCATGAAGAATTTCCGATTAGCTGACAAAAAAGTGCAATTTCTGAGGTCTTGCTGCTAAAGCATCTCTTCGATAAATTGATTTACAGAGTACGGATGCTTGTACGTACTTCTTGCTGTCTAACATGTGGGCGTTGTTTTTCAGATATTAGCTATCAAGTTGCTGGCCGCCCCTAACGTTAGGGCTGTGATCCAATACCGTATAACAATGGTATCACTATTGGCACAGTAAAGCCATCGAATAACTTGATAATCACATAGAGCGAGACACCAAAAATTCTGAGTACCTTGCTACAAGCCACAATAAATCTAGAAAAATGAAATTTCTTGAAGCGAACATAACAGGACTCCTCCATTCCCGTGAGATGAACCACAATCACTAAACAACATACACCGAGACTGCGGGTGCATCTATCAGGCGTAAAACTTATTTCAATCAAATGATAATGATATTGAAGCCTGAAACATGACTGCTTATTTTTATTTATACAAGTACAAGGCTTCGACATCATGTGACTATATTAATATTTGGTCTCGTACAAAGGCATCGCAGAAGGCAGAGACCTCTCTCTCGCACACAGAGCAAGGGCAGGACAAATTCGATTAATCTGAAATTTTCAACCTCCCATCCAGGTGCTCCAAACTTGTCATTATTGCATCAACTTACTTGGTTGATTAGCGTCTGTAAGTGGACGTTCTACGACGCCACTGAAAATGTATCAGCATTGTATACCAACATTCTCTCCTTCGTGTTTGTACACTATCATGTTTCACACGGGCACAGAACAAAACAGACTACCAGGCAATAAATTCAGAGCAGGGAGATGATAATATCTGGTACCTACCTGGCTTGCTTGTATAATTCGAAAGGGGAAGATTTTCTGTCATCTTGGCCGCCGCAGCTTCATTTAAAATGAAGGCGAACTGTTCGTGTCTAGGTGAACCTTAGAGAACCCGAAGTGGCACGAAATACGGAACCCTCCGATTCGATTGATTTTTTCATGACCTTCGCTTTTGTCTTTATATAGAAAAAGTGAACATAGCCGAAACATGTACCTTGCTTTAGGTTTTGAAACGCATTTTTGTGTTTAGAAAAAATTTATTTACAGCATGTACAGAACACAAAGGCTCATACCATTCACGTAACAGGGCATATACACCTCGGCACATCTATATTTCACGACTAACATCACTACGTTACAGTGAAGAAATTCGCTCTAATATACATGACAATGTTGGCATATATGTACACAAGAACTCAATGCAATATAATGATACAATGGTATAACGATACAATAGATGCAATGAAACACGATATGTAACAAATGAAATTATATAAAACAACTCAACGGGCGCTGCTTAGCACCAAGTCGGTCAAAAAATGAGTTGTATCCTTTCGTGTTCCACCTTGACGAAAGGGCACGACCAATGCCGCAGAAACTCTTGCTCCCCGAGGAAGGAAAGCTCGTCGGAGAGGAACGCGAGGATCTCTCGTCTTATTCTCCCCAGTATCGACCACAAAGCACGCCGGCGGCAATTGGCAGGTACGGCCTCACATCGGTTTCTCCAAAGGCTGAACAGCCCCGCAACTATTAAGAGAGCGGAGAAACGACTACGCGGAAATCGGCCGTAAGACACGAAAGTTCGCGCACCCTATCCCCGAAAACCAGCATTAACCGCACGCCGAAAACAGCGGGAAAGCACACATTCAAACGTCGCATGTCCATTGGTCTCTACCATGACGCAGTTGGGGCAACTGGAAGTGCAAACCACCTGCCATCGCTGCAACTGATCTCGCGTGGGGAGCAAGCCCCAGCCAGACCTCCAGACAAAGTCTCTCAAATGCCCTGCCAACACTGCCGCAGTTATTGGTTTCCAAGCGCAGTTCAATACAGATTGACGATGCTGGGGCACCAAGGGCCGTAGAAGGGCGGCCATTGTGTCCACCACTTTAGAATCGGTCACCTCTATCTATGGCCACGTAGCTTCGAAAAGTCGGTGAAATGCCAAAAGAGCTCAATACAAAGATGGTAATTCAGTTGATTGGGGACCTTGGTTTATTTGGCTATCCGGCAAGAAGACACGTAGTCATGGCCCCAGATGGTAGCGAGCCAGTGTCTGAGCGGGCATACCATCCTTGCTTAGTATTCGCAATAGAGTGCGGAGGCACAATGTAGAAGCCATGACTGAAACGTCGGGGAATGCAAAACCACCTTGATCTCGCGGTTGAGCTAACGCTGAACGCGATAACAATTCTGTGGCACCAGACCAAAAAAATGAACTGATGCAGCTTTGCAGTTTCCTGCAGACGTAGAGCGGTGGTTTAACAGAATGGCAAAGGTACCAAAATTTTCCTAGGTACACCGTTCGAGTTAAGTATCGGCGTTCTAAGAGGGGGAATTCGAAGTACCTGGCTACTTTGATATCACTTAGAAGAGTTTGTACAACGGATGACGAGATGCTATCCTGTATACCAAGTGCAGTGAAAGTAACTCCGAGTATTGAAATCTCAGCAGACCACTGTAAAGGCGACGTGATGTTCATACGACCGCTGGGGTTTCCAATGAAAAAATACTGGCTTTTAGAAAAGTTTAACCTTGCACTGGAGATAATACCGAAATCACGGAATGTATCAAGAGCATGCTGCAGCGACTGTTCATTAGGTAGACATAGAGTAATATCATCTGCATATGCAGTGACCTTTACTTGAGTGTTACCGGGTAGAGGTAAGCAACGAATCTGCGTGTGATGTTCAACGGCCCTTAAGAAGGGTTCTAATGCAAAGATAAATAACACTGGGGAGAGGAGACACCCTTGACGGACCCCACGCGTGACTCTAAATGCGTGACTCTCACGGGAATCTAAGTAAAGGGTACTTTCTGAATTAGTGTGCATCGCGTGGATGAGGTCAATGAACTTATCCGGGAATCCGTATGCATGTAAAGCATTTAGTATGTAGCCATGTTCTATAAAATCAAAAGCTTTCTCTTGATCTAATGAAACCAGGAGTCGTTGCGCACATCGGCTAGTGGTGTATTGAATGATGTCACGCGTTAACCACGTATGGGTGTGTATTTCTCGGCCCGGAACAGAACAGACCTGGTGGGGAGCAATTAATGTTGGAAGAAATGGACTGATTAGGCGCACCAAAATGTTGGCCAAGAGCTTGTAATCTACATTGAGCAGGGTAATAGGGCGCCAATTTTCTGGTTGCGTGGACATTAGGTCTTTCTTAGGAACTAGTGTTAAACGGCCTTTGTGGAAAGAGGTTGGAAGTGTAATATCTTGGAAACACTTGCGAATGACGCGTGACATAGTTGGACCAATGATAGGCCAGAACTGTACATAAAACTCTGCAGGGAGTCTGTCAGGCCCTGGGGCCGATCCCTTTTTCATTGCGTCTAATGCGCCTTTGATTTCGTCATCGGATGGCGGTGATAGGAGGACGTCATTTGACATGTTGGAATCATGAGGTAAATCTTTTAGCAGAGGATGCGAAGAAACGGATCCTGGGTAACAGACATTAGCACCAGATTGAGCTATTGACTGAAAGTGTTGAGTGAATTCCTGAAAGTCGCGCGTACCCGCAGCAGCTGGGGCGATAGAGTTCAGCGAGTGGGCAGGCAAGCCTGGTGGACAAAGCAGAGCTCTGCATGCATACCTTAGCACCTCAAGGGTGCGAACACGGTGCACGTCTACAGCGCCAAGCTGCAGCCGAGAGTGAAGAAGCGCGCCTAATACGTTGGTACCGTTCAACGAGCTCCTCTTCCCATGCCCGCATTACAGTGGAAGTACTGGGATCTCGATTGGCAATGCGTATCTTCTGGATTACAATGACGCATCTTTCGACATACCGGTGCAAAG